GTCCATGCCTTACGCCGCCCTTGGTCATAGAAATGATGTAATTTGAATATAAATTATTTATAAATACGTATGTCAAGTTATATTTTTATTACTACGTAAAATATATTAAGAGTTTATGACCACTGTGCTGGGTGAGACGTTGATGAAACAAAAAAAGTTATGCATTCCATCACGTACATAAACAGTGTCGTAATTCGCCAAGTGCAAATCAGCAAAGTCGTAAAATTTTTGTTTATTTTGAACAATCTGGATAATCGAAAATCCGGATAATGGAGGTCCGGATAATGGAGGTTCTACTGTATTTATAAATTATATTTAAATATACCATACAAAAACTTACTTTTTAATAAAAAAATTAGTATAAAACTAAAAAATATGATCTAATCAATATTGTAATACCTTTTAAATTATTTTTTTCCATTTTGTAATCTTCTATTTCTCTGTCTAACTGTTCTTTTTCCTGCTGGAGATGAGTTGCTGTTTGCTGGGTTGTATACAATAATACTTCTAATTGTTCCTTTTCTTCTTGTAAAAGAGATTCTGAATCTTTAACTTCTTTAAGTTCATTTTCTATTGCTTTTAACTTCATTAACAATTCAGAATGATTACGAACAAGTTCTTCTTTTTCATTTGTTTGCCTCTCGTAAGATTCTTTTTGTTGTTGTAGCTGCATCTTAATTTCACTTGTTTCTTCAGTAATCATCATTTTTTCTTCAGTTACCTGTTAAGTTATATTTTATATGAAACAGAGAAAAATAAACAAATCATTAAATAAAATTTACTTTTGATTTAATCATTTAAACCTTACAGAATATATAAAAATTTTCATTAATAAAATTGAAATTGGCTCATCATATTTTGAGAAAAAGTTTAAAACTCAGCTTTAAAATCACAAGGAAACCCTCTCATTTGTTTACAAGGAAGTCTGACTTCAGTTGTGTTTTCTTGTTGATAGGAAAACTATCTCATCACTCAAAAAAAAAAACCCTAATGTTTTAAACAAAATGCATTTTCAATCCTTTTAATCAAGAAGTGATGAATCAAGTTTTCCTTTTGCTAATATGTAAATGTAGTAATAGCAGTTCTGGTAATAGGTCATCAACAGAGAATTTAATTTTGATACTGACACTTATCTATAAAGGAAGGATCTGTTTTGAATGTGTATATTTCCATCAGTATGAAACTTCTTTGTCACATTAGAAACTTTTTTTTTAATCATTAGTGTTTTTGAATGCATAAAGAGTTCAAGAAAACTAATATTATACATTTTCATGTAGAAACATTTTATACTGTGACTTTGTTTTCTATGAAAATGTATTATAATAATATATCAGTCATTGTTTTCAGATATAATACTAATATTCAAATTAACCTTTAAAAAGAATTTAAAAAGTTAAATTAATTCAATACTGCTGTTAGATAAGTCAAAATGGGAAAAAGAACTAACAGGACAAATAATTTATGATATTCATATATATTTAATGATGATTTATAAATTTACTTTATATTTTTAACATAAAATGAGTAAATAATTGATGTAATGTTAATATTTTTGATTTTAATCTGGAACTATGAAAGTTATGTTGATCTGTTTATTTTTTTTACAGATAAAGCAAGACATTGAGTAAGAATGAATGAATTCAAGTTCCTTGATGGTGATAATGCATAAAGAATGAAATTGCCAAAGAGTTTAGCAGGTTGCATCCAGACTTCCCACCAATCAAAGTTTATCTACATTAAGAAGATCATATTCTTTGAGTTTTACTTGAATTATATTTAGATCACTTCTAATGTGATTCAAGTAAATCTAAAAACAGTCATTGGGTCCATTTTGTTTAAGCTAGGGTTTTGTTCTAAGTTTGATAAAACCTTAGCTTAAACACTTACTACTTGTTTGGAAAAGCAAACAAAATCTTTAAAATAATATAGGAGAATGTTTCCAGGCAGATCTCATATTTTTTAAAGTTACTTCAAGCTTTGACTCAAATATTTGCTATTATAAATGTCTACTTATTTATCAATAAAATATTGAATTATAAAATATTAAATTATCAAAAAATGGCAATTTCACAAAATATGATCAAAATTTGGCAAAGCTGTTTGGCTGAGACGATCAGTTTTTCTACAGCCAAGTAATTTCCCATAAGGACAATTTACAGAAATTTAGCCAGACAGTAATTTCTTCTTGTTTGTTTAGTGTACATGCCATTAAAGTTATTTGCCAAATATATGCTGGTATCTTGAAAATGAACTTATCCTCATAAATAACACTGAACTAACAGAATTTTTACCTGTATCATTTGAAACTTGATATCAACTTATTATCCATATTAGTGATTACTACAAATGTATTAATCAAATACAAGTTAGCCAAGAAATTATTCTATAATGTTCTTCAATTCTTTTAAACAAAAATTTAAAAACAAATTATCAACAGTTTTTTATCAGTTAGAATTCTCCAATCAATGAAAAAAGTGAGTTTTTCTTGATTGATTAAAATAATCTTCCTAACTATTCTTTAAGCAAAGAATGCATAATATATATCTTTACATATTTTTCACACACAATAATTCAAGGAAACTATACTCTTGTAACTAAATTTCATTAGTAATTGCAATTTAAATAATGATAATAATGAAATATAGTAGAAGTTTCTTAATCCAACACCCAACAATCTAAGTGTCTGGTAACCTGGCACCTTCTTAAAAGCAGTCAATACTTCAAATTTGTCTGATGATAATCTGTCATTCTAGTGTTCTTTGAGTTGGAATATATAATATCTATTTTCCAGATATACTGTATTTCCACTTGGAGTCTTTAAGTATGCTAAAGACCCCATATAGAATCAATATATCTTTAAAATATTACACGCACTTGAATCAATGTGTTTTGTGCAATAACATGTTCATTAATATAAAAATATTTTTGCAAATCTTTCAATGAATCTTAACACATTATAGTCAAGCACTGTATCATCTTCAGACTGATTAAAGTGTGTGCTTAAACAAATCTGAGGCATATGGCAACATGCACTGGTACAAAATGTATAGAAATGTCTACAGATCTCATAACATCAAATTTTGCAAAAATACAAAAATGATAATCAGCAATATTAGAAATTATTACTGTTGTATTTTAAGTTTTCTCATTGATTTTGTTACAACAGTATTTTATAGTAAAAGTATTAAATAACAAGTTTTAAATTTATTTATAAAATTTAACGTTGTTTTTAGTAGATGTCTCTAAAAGGTTATAAAAACGTTACATAATAGAAGTTTGTTAATCTGGCACCTATGGTACCAGAGGATTGCTATATTTATTTTCTAAATTTCACTCATTTATTTCAATTCATATTAAGTTAAAAGGTATTTTCATCACAATTATTTTTAATTTATTAATCTTGTCTGAACACTGATAAATAATTTAAAATATTAATATGCTTGTACATAACATTCTTTAAAAAATGTAAATTTTTTAAAGAATGTTCAAAATGTAAAAGTTTCAAGTTAAAATAAACATTTGATGTTTAAAAATAAAAAATAAAATTTAACAAATAAATTATATAAGTATTAAAACTATCCACTTATAAAAATATAATAAACAAAGTAATAAATACAATACAAATATTAGATATATACTTTTGATAGTTGATTTTGAAGATCATCTTTTTCTTGATTTATTTTATCTATTTCATTTTTGAGTTGTTCAAGTGTAAATGTTGCAGATTCTAATTTTTCTGTTGAAATTATATGTTCATTTTCTAGTAATTGATGTTTCTGATTAATTTGATGTAACTCTTTACGTAATTGTTGTAAATCTTGACTAAGTTCTGACTTATCTCGAAACAAATTTTTATTTGTTTCTTCTATCTGAAATTTAAAAATAAATTAATTCTATGTTTATTTCATATATTTTGATAGTCAAATACATTTAAAATTTATTCCACTTTGAATTATGTTAATCAGATTTTAAATATTAAAATAATAAAACAAATGTTTTAAGATTATTTTTTATTTTTCAGTTTGATGAAAAATAAGAATAGATGAAATATTTAATAATCTTTGATTATAGAGTAGATAGGAACATAGTTATTCATTCCACTACATATTTGAGCTATAAATAAAAAATGACAAATCCATAGTATTTTAAACTTTAATTAATGATAATATAAAAACTATACATTAAAAAACAAATATAGAAAACTGAAATGTATTAAAATTATCAACATATTCAAAAGATAATATCTTTCTATTTTTATTTCTGTTCTTTTCTACTGTTTCTAATAATGTATTCATTGTTAAGTCTATATCTATTAAAGCTTAAGAACTTTAGTTTATGAAAATTTCAATACATTTTTGAGATTTTTATGACACAAACTAACTAATTTCCTATTAATACTTATTCTATTTAAAATACATTTATAATGTATGCTCAAGCATTTGAAACAGTAGAAGTAGTTGTAATTTTTTTTTAATATTCAAAGTTTCACCATAACTCTCAATAAATAATTATTCAGTAATAAGAATCAATAAGAAAAATTAGTAATAACCATAATTATGAATTGAAACATTTATGATAATTATAAAAAAAAACAAGTAAAATGGCAAAACCGTATTTGGGACAAGACTCTCAGAGACGGAATCACTTTGAGGCTCAAGGCAGGTCTCATTCTCATTCTCCTATCTTCTTTGATATTGCTGCTTTTGGGCACGATTGTTAAAACTTTGCTTGCCTCGACCACGAGGTCTTCCATGAGCCATTTTTAGTGAATGTTCTGTCGGTAAAAATTTACTAAGAAACTGATAATTTACTTAACTTGTATTGGCAGAGCAATATTTACAATAGCGTCGATATATAATATAAATCCAAGATCGCACGGCTGTTGACTCGAAAGGTCAATTAACATGAAGTGAAAAAAGGTCTCTCCTACCTTGTCCCTGATGCCCATGTTGACCTCGACCACGTGTTCTGTGTCTTTTGTTCTGACATTAAAAATTTACTAAAAAACTGATAATTTATTTAATTTGTATCGGCAGAGTGATATTTACAATGGTGTCGATATATAATATAAATCCAAGATCGGCATGGCTGTCAAATCGAAAGGTAGTAAAAAGATGTCTCTCCTCATTAGAGTTTAGGAGCAAAGTGAGGTCAAAGGGCAAAGGTCACATGCAGGTGCCCTCAGTCCTAAGGTCAGAGTCCACTTCTTAGAATGACTGCGGGTGGTATTCTTCCCTACCTGACTTCAGTGGGGTGAGGTGGCTGTTTTGCCTGTTTGTAGAAGAGGGTCGCCATTTTGGATTTTATTTTGACTCGATTCTCGGTCCCCTGACTACCTAAGAGTCTGGAATTTTTTATGCACAAATGATTTGGGCATCTAATACTCTGTGCCAAATATCAACTCTCTACATGCACTCTTTCATAACTCTATGCTGATAATATTGAGTGGCAGTACAATTTTATAAACAAGACATAGTCTTGTCAATACTAATATGGATTATTAAATTTTGCAATATTTTCAGATAAAATTTAAAATAACTATTTATTGTGTAAATGTATCATATAAATTTCTGTTAGACCTTCCTGCTAATCAGTCACTGTACTCATATACACATGAATATAGCAAATTGGTCACATTATACAAAGCAATATTTGTATTCTTAATAAATAATTATACAAAGCAATATTTGTGTTCTTAATGTCCTAAAATGCAGATTTGGTTGCATTTGGGCTGCTAAATATCTCTCTAGACAGTGTTGAATAGGATACTTTAATTAGAATACAGTCACTCAATACATTAACTAATAATAATAATAATAATTCATTGTTTTAACATACTTTCCTGAGTGTTTTTGTCAATTCAAATTTTTCATCAGCATAATTTTCATTTACTTTTTGTAAGTTATCAATAGATTCTTTCAATGAAGTAATCTCTGATTTCATTCTTGAAATATCCATTTCATAAACTAATTTTTGATGATTAGCTTTCACCAAACTGTTATCTGTAAGAATAAAATTTATTAGTATTATATATAAAGGAAACTGTTAAATCGTTTATTCAAACTTACTAATATCAATTTTTTCTTGTTCTATTATTTCTTTTTCTAATATCAAATGATGAACTTTTTCTTGAAGAATGCCATTTCCTTCTTTCAGTGAACTTTGTTGTTCTTCCAACATTGTCAATTGACGTGTGCTAAAATGAGAGTTAATGGATTCTTAAAATAATAAAATCACGAATTTTAAACATTTTGTTATTCAAAAATTTTACATCTATCATAAAAATGTATAAAACTTGACATCATTATTGGAAAAAACATACAATAAACTGCTTGATTCTGGTAACGAAAAAACATTATTATTATCCACCAATTATTCTCCTCTAAATAACAAAATAAATTATAAACTATCTTAATCTTACACTTATTATTATTTATAATTACTGTTAATTACTAAATATTTAATGCTTTTTTATACCATTTTTGTTTTTAATTGTGTTATGTTATTTTATACATTTATTTATTCTAATATATCATTTTGTGTTCTTTTAAAGCTTTTTCTTTGTCAGCATTGCTCATTTTTATTCAGAACTGTTCAGTTATCAATACTCTCAGCATAGTTTTGAATTTTGTTTTAGAACTATTATGAATTACATTCTTGTAACCTGAAATGTTTTTTGTCACTAAAAATATTTTGGTTACCAGAATCAACAGTTTATTATATATGATGACCTCAGAGTAAGAATAATCCATGTCAGTAAATCCTAATTTTAAAATAATTAACAAAAACTTCTACACAATATTTCACATATTTTCTTTTGGCATCTGGAATGTAACAACAAATCTGACTTGGATCTGTACTACTTTAGATAAAGCAGCTTGCATAAACTCCACATGCTAAGGCCATAACACTAAAAACTGGACTTGAATCACTCTTGCTCTAAGATCACCATATGTATTTTAAATATAGTTATTTTGTGCTAACCACAATTTCAATTTATACATGCTATACGGTCGACCCCCCTATAACACTGTTGATTTTTCCATTTTATATGAATTCCATGTTGTACGAGTCACTTAGATTTTACAAATACGTGAGCTGTTCACAGCCCGGCACACGTATTTGTAAAATCTAAGTGACTCGTACAACATGGAATTTATATAAAACAGAAAAATCAACAGTGTTATAGGGGGGTCGACTGTATTTATGATTACTCTTTTAATATAACTTTTTGTTGAAATATGATTTATTGAACGTGAATTGTTAAGAACAATAATGCTAATCTTAATTATTTAATACAGAAATTTCAGATATTTTTAGTATTTGCTAACAACAAAATACCTGAAAATTCTGATCAAACCTAATCTGTATATCAAGTTTTACATTTAAAGATATTTTTCTTTACATTTTTCAGATAAAATTTAAATCTTTATACATTTATAAATTCTGTGAGTAAAATATTAAATTTTTATTACATTGTTTTGAAAAATTTTGAAAAAGTTTATTAAAAACAAATTCTAAAACTATATTTTTCAATTTCCAATTATAATTAAAAATATTTTTATACATCAAGGTACTGAATCAAATTTCTGGCACCCTTGGTTCCACAGCCTTGTAGATTAACCATTTTGCCATATCAACCATGCCCATGTATAATAATTTATCAACACACCTCTAATCCACTAATCATACACTTCCCACATGTGTTTAAAGTATAACCATTGACTGCTAGAAACCTAAATAAATATTAAATGTAAATTACATTTGATACCACCACTGACTCTCTTATCTCTCTTAGAAGCCATAGCTAGGATTAGAGTTTAAGCAAAATAAACTAAGAATATCACAACATTACAGTATCACCACCAATAAGTGCAATGTAAATAATGTAAATAAGTGTAAACCAAAATTCTGATTCTCATCTGATTTTTGTGAATAAGGCCAGTAGTTCATATAAGTCAAAAGATATATAAATATAAAATCAATTAAATCCATCATTACAACCATTATATACCTTTTTTCTAAGTCTTGATATGAATTACTTTCTTTTATTTTTAAATCTTCCTTTTCACTTTCTAACTTTACAATTTTCTGTTGCAGATCTCTGACCATTTGATGTAACCTATCATTTTCCAAATTTAATGCATCAATTTGTTCATTTAATGTTTTCTGCATTTGTTCCAACCAAACTTTTTCTGCATTTGCTTTCTCTGTATCCTTTCCATTTTCTTTGGCACTTTCCATATGTTTATTACTAAAAACAAAGAAAAAAAATAAATTCTTATAAGAAATACAAATGCAAAATGAAAAAATACATATTTTAAAATGCAAGATATACATTAAACTTAAATTATAATCAAATAAAAATTGTTTATCTTCACTCATAACAGTCTATTTCTGTAGTATTATACCTGTAATTTCAGGAAAAATTAATTTTGATTTTAAATAAAAGTGCACATGCATTTCCAGTCAAGAATTTTGTTTACATTGTCTGTAATTGTGTAGAAAGATGCAGGTTTAATTTTTTAAGCCTCTGGCATTCATCTTCAATATCTTCTGCCAATTTCTTCTGTTTCCTGTACTGGTCCTCATAAGTAGTTATCTTTGCTTGGCTTTCCTACATTTTATTAAAAATGTATACATATATGTAATTGAATCATTAATTAAAATTCTAAAAATGTATAATTTTTTAACTTAAAATTAAATAATAAAAATTTCAATTTGAGTACTACCACTCAAAAACTGAGTGTACTTGAACTAAAACCACTAAAAAACCTAATATCCAACAGAGAAGTTTGGAGATGCTAATGTTTTTGCCCATGTTGAATGGGCATCATCAGGCAAACTAATCCCCCGGCTGCCAAAACAAGAGATTGCTGTATATATGTGAAGAGCAAAAACATTTTCTGCTGAAGATCAGGTTTTTTTACAAGCTTCATTTCAATTCCAGTTCTTTANAACTATATACCAACTTCCGGTCTGGACCGGATATCACGTGAAATTTTTTAAATTAAAAGATGATTAAGAATTGCATCCGGCATTGTGACGATGTCACAATAGTATACATTCGATTGTTTTGTTTTTTAATTTTAATATTTAGCAATTTTATTAAATATTTCCGTAAAAAGTTTAATTTTTCTATGCGAGAAATTGATCTAGAAACTATTTTATTTTTTAAACTTACATATTTATATGTAGAAGATCGGAAGAATGTTGTTTTCTAGAATATCACGTTATGCGGATGTAAATCAAATATTTGTTATATAAAGTTTTCGAGTTTTGTGTGTATATATATATATATATATATGCATATATATATATATATATATACACAGGGTGGGGCATAATGGAGTCCCACATTTATGAGGTGAATTAAAGGTTTTTTGGTTAAGTTTTAAAAATGATGATGTCCCACTAGGTGACGTAAACAAGAGAGTTGTCAGTAGTCAACATGCTGTTGTCAGGTGAACAATGGGGCTTCGTCGTGAAGGCTTTTTTCAAAAACACAGAGTCTGTGACTGCAACACAGAGGCATTTCACACACAATTTTGTTTAAATGCAAAGGAAAGTGTTCCTGATTGGAGAATGATTTTGAAATGGGTCCAAAAGGGCAACAGGATCTGCAAATCCTAAAAAGTCAGTTGGGCATCCCAAATCTGTGAGGACACCTGCAAACATCACCACACTCAGAACAGTATAGAGCAGTCTCCAACATGTTCTGCTCAAAAATATGTCATCTTTCTCTGCTTCTACTTCTACTGTGTCATCTCCAGATGATTCCCAGTTGACTAATCGCTTTACAAGAAGCCGTTGAATGGCCCCTCGCTCCCCTGATTTGAGCTCCTGTGACTTTTTCTTATGGGGATATCTCAAGGCAGAGGTTTTTAAACATTGCCCTCAAACCCTACAAGAACTCAAGGAGGCCATTCATGAGGAACTTGCCAAAATTCCTCCAGATATGCTGGTAAGAAGTGAAGAAAACTTCAAGGAACAGCTCCAAATGTACATCGCTCATGATGGACAACATTTGGATGCCATCATTTTTAAAACCTAACCAAAAATAACTTTCTTACATGTACTTTGATTAAATAAAAAGTTTTTCCATATTATTGTACTGTTTTTTGTTAATTCACCTCATAAATGTGGGACTCCATTATGCCCCACCCTGTATATGCATTAAATTTTAAATTTTTAGATTTTTTTACACAACCATCATTTGAATGCATGTTAATGCACCTAAATGTTTATGTTAGATTAGCAAATTTAATTCAGGAAATATCTTCTCATCACAATGTCAAATCTATGACAAAATAATTTCCTATCTAGATTATTTCAATAAATATTATTATTTCAAGAATCTGATTTATAATATAAATTAATTCTTGTTCATTCCTCTATTCGTATTTACTTCATTCCATATTAAAAATTGTTATTTAGCTTGAAAACTATATTATACAATATTTCTCTGTATAAATATGTATATGTAACTGCATATTATATTTAATACTTATTTTTCATTAATCTTAGAACAATTTTTTATATTTTTCTCACTATTGAACAATTATATTTATATTTATCTTCAAAATATTATGAAATTTTTGTATTCTAAATGTTTTTACAAATGTAAATTTATAAATACAGATATGTACATTTTTTGATATAAAGATTATAAAGAAATATTAATTAGATATCAACAACTTTTTGAGAAAGTTCAGCAACCATCTTCTGTTGAACTATGATGTAACTCAGAAATATAAAAAAACTTTACAAATAGTTATTCAATCATTTGTTAAATGAATAAAATATGTTATTCATGAACTACTTATTAATATAAAAACCAAAGTCTGTTATACTGTTATTATTAATAGATCTTCCTTAGTTAGGACTAGCAAATTGAATACATAAATAGCATTTTGCAATTAAAACAGAACAAAATTTGTATTTTTACATTTATTATATTTGTATTTTAATAAATTTGTATTTATAATAAATAAATAAGTATACAAATTTGTGTATTTATTTGTTTATTTAATAAATTTGTTTTTATAATAAATAAATTATAAATATAAATTTATGTATTTTTAAATACATAATATAAATTATTTAAATAAATAAATAGCATTTTTAAATGCTATTTATGTATTCAATTCATTAGTCCTAACTTAGGAGGAACTATGAATAGGTCAAAAATGTTTTTTTGTTGTTATTAATATTAATATTCTTCTATTATTTATTAATAGAAGAATATTACTTATTCTTATTTATAATAATTATTTAACAATATTTATTAATGTTATTCATTTTATAATTATAATATCAAAATCAAATTGTGACCAGATGGCACTACTTCATATCATTCAGCATGATCATTTTTTATTTAGAATTTGCCTTATCTCATTAAAGAAACTGAATGAATATTAAGGTCTCTGTTACTCAGAAAATACAACAAGGAAATCTTTTTCAAAGCTATAGAAATTTTGGTATGGTTCTGTATCTGAGATTCAAATGATGGAAGCATCTATATTGTCATGATCTGCCACATTGTCCCAGTCAGGTCAATCTAACAAGTGAGTAGCATTCAATGGGAGCATAATATATTAAATAGGAAAGGGATGTAAAAAATTCAGTTCATTCTTTTTCCCTATGTTACAGTAACATATTAACAAGGGGCTCTGACCGACTAAACTGGAACAAAAGGCAGGACCATTAATTACACAGTTTCCCACCATAATGAACAGAAATCATATAATTATCTAATCAGCTAATTACCTAGTGATACTATATTTTAATTCATTAAGTGATTTTACATTAAAAGCATATGATATTACCTTTTTGCAGTAAATTAATGATTAAAATTATTTAATTTAATTTTAAAATATTTAAAAGAAAAGATTAACTCAAAATGGAAATTTAACTTGCAATCTGAACAAAATGGTGAGGTACATTATCCAGATTTCTGATCTGATCTTTGCCTCCAAATTATATAATAACTTTAAATAACATAAACCATGAAAGTCAACTTTCACTTCAAGTGGAAACACATTCATCTATGTTCCCTATATTCAGCTGGCTGCAACTTTCATCTCAAAATGAAATGATCTACATGATTCTAAATTATTTATAATCCTAGAGATAATTAAATGGATCAAAAATCTGACAATAATTAAAACACTTCTCTGACTTGCAAAGATTGCAAATTCAAATGCTATTGTACATTAATCTTTTTCTAGATAGTTCTAAATTGTTAATCTAATTAAAATTTAATTTTAAACATAAAATTTTTTAAATGATAGCAACTAGAACTATGCTAAACCAAAATTTTTATATCTTCATTGATATTAGGCTTGATACTGAATATCATAATATTGAATTAGTCATATTTAATAATTAATAAAAATCATAGTGTTAATATAGCTCAAGGCTGATCTAGTAGATGATTCTGACTCATTTTCTTATAATTAGGGCCAGAGTTTATATTTTCATTCATATTTTTATATAATTGAAAAATAAATAGTAATGACAATTCCATTAACAGAAAGTTTCAAAAATAAATAAAATATAGAAATAAATACAATTATAAACAAACTATCAAAATTAAAAACCTATAATTTTGAAACTTAGTGCAATAATACACAACTGTAATATGTTACTACAATTTATATAAATTATCATATTAATTAATTTAAATAAAAACACTTTACATAATATTAAGAAATTATGTATATAAAATATAAAGTTTGATATATATATATATATAAAACTTTATATTTTATAATAAACAAATTTATATTTTAGATATATTTCAATTTAAATATACTAACTTCTTCTTCCAAGTGGTAGTGACTAAGAGCAATTCTAACTGCAGTTAAAACAGATTCTGCAAAAATGGGTATATCAGAAACTTCAACTTGAGAATAATGTTTGACTGCAGAAGTTGTTTTGCCCTCCAACAAATTTCTGAAAAGGAAAATATTCACAGAAAAAAAATATGAAGTACATAAATTCCCTGTGATTATTAATAACAACTGAAATATATAAAAGATAAAATTTTCTAAGGATAAAAACATCACATCATAATAAAACTATAGATAAATAAATAATGAAACAAAACATTTTCAACAGATAAAACTATTATTATTTTAATTTCATCTTTTACTTTGATAAAATGGAATTAGTAATTTCATAAATTTATCTGGTAACATATAAATGAAATAAAAAGTGAATTCATTTTATATTTATATATTCATCAGCAATGAAAATTCTAACAATTCTGTTTGTAATGATAGCCAAATCTAACAATCTTTAAAAAAGTTTTATTTAAGTATTAAAAATTCTCAAAAATGTTTTTCCCATCACCAGAATGTATAACTAAATATATACAGGTATCCCTTGTACAACACGGTTTCACTCTAACATGGTTCGAAAATTGGGGAAATCCCCTGCCCAACATGACTTCTGGTTTCATTCTAACATGGTTTGAAAATCCTCCATAGAAAATTTCACAAGTTTTAAGTGCAAACTCCTTTATTCAATATTTTTTTTATTCAAGTAAGCATGTGTTTTGTCTCAAATTTGCCTTCTGATTTTAGAATACTGAAATTTTCAATTGATTTTGTGCCTTTTGTCAGGTTTAATGAAACTGATAGTGCAATTTTTTTTTCTTCCTTGTCCTAGCTTTCCTATCAACCAGGCCTTGTTGTTAATGCTTTCAGACTAGTCCTTAAGACAGTCACTGTATTTTCTTTTTATACATTAATCTTCATATTTAGTAAAGTTTATTTAAATATTTTTATGCAAGTGTTATCAACCTTTTTTTACCGTAGATAAGTAATAATTCGTAAAAATGATGAATAGAATACGGTTGTATCTTGGTACTCAAACTGTGCCCAAATTGAACAATCCATTATTCAAACACAAATTATGGAAAAAAATCACTTAGTACTCAACTGAACAAACACGACCTGCTAAGACAAATTTTCAATTAATAACAGATTTTTATTTTGTCTCACAAAAAATTTTATGGTAAAAATTAAAAAATGAAAATGTTGCTGATATTTCCAATCAAAATCAAGAAAAAAGTTCAGAAAATTACAATACTTTGTAAAAAAAAACCTCATGTTACTAAAGTTAACATTAACACATAATACAGTATCTTAATTGTGATTGTTACTTGATTATTGATTGAAAATAAATTATTGATTACTTTAATAAACATGTTTCTCTTAGAAACAAAAAAAGAATAGTACACTTTTGTTAACTTCTGGAACCTAATCGTATGTTTTGTACTAGTCCCTCGTTTCGTATAGAATGGATTTGCATAACATGGCACTTTTTCAGAACATAACTACCATGTTGTACAAGGGATATATGTATGTATGTATACATACATACATACAGGTATCAACTCTTATTTTTCATTATTGTACTATAACTAGTTGTTTCTATATATTTCCTACAGTTGCCAACCTGTATCAATACATAGGTGAAACTGGAAAAGCCCTAAAAATCAGACAAGAGAATATTTATGCACTGTAAAATATAATTACACTAACTCAGCAGTGGCCATACATTGTAATGGAGAAGATTGTGAAATTTCACTTGATGATGTTAAAATCCTCAAAAAAGAAAAAAATGTTATTAAAAGGAAATTACATGAACATTTAGAAATTATTAAAATAAATGAATATAAAATGAACTTAAATGATGGTCTACCTATTAGTGACATCCGGCAACCACTTCTTCATGATAGGTAGAGTTCACTTGAAATCCCATCCAAAATCCCTCCCCCATCCAGTTATAATACAGTGTTGTACTTTTGTCAATTTATGTTGATTTTCATACAGTATAATTTGTACAATTTTATAGTGGTTTTAAAAGCTTTTAATTTAAACTTTTTTGAAGAAAAGTTTTCAAACCCACATTTTTAATTTCGTTTGTTAGTTTTTATTCAAAAAATTTGTTTTAAATCTTACCAACTTGTAATTTTATCCATCTACAGGTAGTAGCTATTTAAATTATTTTTTGAAAAATTATATGTTTTTAAAAAATTTTATTTATTTAATTTTTTTTATTTATCTACTTCAATTTTATTTTATACAGCACCTTTTTTTTAAACAAATCTTTATAATATATCTAGTTAATTGCCCAATTTTTAATTTCAATTTGTATTCAATAATCAGCTAGTGTAAATAAAAAAATATTTTTAAAAATATTATCTGTAAACACATATATGTGATGTAATTTATAACTATTATTTGCTTTGATAAAATACATATAAAAAATAAGGACTGAAGAGGGGTTATTAAGAAAAAAATACATGCATGTTCACATCCAGTAATAAAGTCTATATCAATAAGAGTTGCTTGTGTGATGTAAGTTACTGACAAAAAAAGCCAAAAATTTTAGGCTTAGAAAAAATCCAAGTAAATAAAGATAAAAATCAGCTTTTCTAATCAATCAGCAATCTATCTAGCTTTAATGGAAATGAAGGGAATATTTTTTCAATTTATTTATTTTATTACCATTTTTTGAATAAATCAACTATAAGACTTTAATAAAAATAGTGTTGACATAAAAATAAACTTTATATTTTTCTCTTTCAAAATTGCTTTAAAATACCTAATTTCATATGAAACTTTCATCTTTTCTCCTCTAACAAGACCATAATTATTGCAAAATTTCATACAATTTACTTTATAACAAAAAATATAAATTTAATTTTGTAATATCAATTTTAAAATGGTTAAAAAATTATTGCAAAGACTTACTTTAATTTAAACTATTGAATTTTTTAAAAATAATTACAATGTACTGTACAAAAAAACTGTGTGGATTTATAAAATAATAATAAACAGAAAATGAAATTTAAAACTATTAAATAATTGTCTTTCCTTGTTTGAAATAAATCACTGCATAATTAAATAAGAAATTCATATTTAATTTGAGAGTTTTTATTTAAAAAAGTAAGAACTTACTGTAAAAATAAACAAACAAAAATATATAACTTAATATTTAAAAAAAACTGAAGTTTTAAATTATATCTTTAGTAAAACAATAAAATGTCTCTAAATATAATTAAAATTCAAAAAATGAAATATTTACTTGAAAATAAATTGTCCTCTATTTTCTAAATGTTCTTGTAAATGATCAATCCAATTTTGATGATAAGCATCATCAACAATAATTTGTGCTATATCTTTATATATGGCATATAATGAATTCAACTGATATTTTAATTGTATATTAGTATTTTCAATTTTATTTTCCATTTCTTCTTCTTCTTTTATCTATAAATTAAAATTATTTTGTAGTAATAGTATCAAAGCATAAGTTTTTAAAAATTGATAAGACTGTTTAATACCATTTTATCAATTTTATTTCTTAAAGTATCAATTGTTTCTTCTTTTTCTTCAATATTGTTTTTAGCTTTCTCATTTTGTACAGTAAGGTCATGAATCCTATTTTAAAATATTCATTTTTTTTTCTAAAAATTTATAAATGGCCAAATACAATCAATTTAAATAATAATTTTAGAAAGTTCTTAAAGAAAAAATCAACCCAAAGCAGGACTTGAACCCACAACTCCCACTTACCATGTGGTCAAATTGTCGGTTATGCTACCCAAGCCCCCTGGACTGATTTCCTCTTCCAGACATATTTAATTATGATATAACCATTCTGAGTTACTTAGCTGGGGATGCCTTCAGCATCATCATCCTATAATCCCATAAAGTATTATATCATAATTAAATACATCTGGAAGAGAAAATTGGTTAGGAGACTCAGGTAGCATAACTGGCAATACAACCGCATGGTAAGTGGGTTGTATTGCAGGTTCAAGTTCCACTTTGGACCGATTGTTTACAATTTTAAATATCTTGATATGCCTAATCAATAATATAAGAAATCTATTAAACAGTCCAATACAATCTATTTACCAAAAGATTTAATTATTTATAGTATATATAAGATTTGTTCAAAAAATAACTGAAGTTTTTGAATAGGGAAAAAACAGCGTCCCCTAGTGTCGTGAAGTTGACAACACTATGTTCATGATAACCTACCAAATAAGCTGCTTATTTTGGATTGTTGATATCTCATTTCATTCACATGTTATTGTTTTTTGAGTGAAAGGTGTTTCAGTGTTCATGGAGATTTTTGCAATGTGCAATTTATGGGAACAATAATGCAACATATATGGAAACATTTCAACTTTTGAATCAAGTTTATGGGAAGTGATGCTCTAGGTCATACACAGCATTATGAATGGTTTACCCAATTCAAAAATGGTTGTCAATTAGTTGAAGATGACTCTCAACCAGGAAAGCCTTCGACTTCAACTGATGACACTCACATTCAAAAATCAGAGTTGTGCACTTTGAATTTTTGCCTCACGGTCAAACAGTCAACCATCAGTACTAAACAGGTGTTCTGAAACAATGAGTGAAAAAATTTGCAAAAAGAGACCAGAGTTGTGGCAAGACAATTCATGGTTCCTTCACCATAACAACACGCCTGTTCACTCAGCCTTGTCAATTCACCCGTTTTGTGCCAAAAATCAGGCGACTATGCTCCCCAGCCCCCTTACTCACCAGACCTAACTCATTATGATTTTTTCTTGTTTCGAAGATTAAAATCAGTGCTGAAAGGATGATGTTTTGACACAATTGATGACATTAAAACAAATTTGTCACAAGCATTGAAGGACAATCCAAAACAAGCTTGCCAGGACTGCTTTGCAAAGTGGAAACATCACTGGGATAAGTGTATGAATAGGGAAGGGGAGTACTTTGAAGGGGACAAGGTCCAATAATCTGTAACTTGAAGAATAAAAATTAAAAAATTAAAGTTTATTTATTTTTTGAACAGACCTCATATTTCTTATTTATTTATTTTAGAAACTCCATATAGATAACATATTCAGAAGTAAAAATTATATTCAGCTTGTTTCTTACTCTGAGAATTAAGTATTTCAGATCTTTCTCACATTTTTAAATTTATTTATTTGCCTCTTTTAATTTTATAATGAAAAATAATGCTTGTAGCACACTTTTTCTTAATTTTAAAACAAAAATATCTAATAATTTACTAATTTGTTACTTTAAAACTTTTCCATTAGTTAAAATTAAATAATACAGCTTCTTACATTTTAATTTGAATACTTTTACAATAACCTCTGATACTTGTAAAATAATCTTTTATTTTAGATTTCCATTTCATTAATTACATTCCTTTCTTTATTATCAAGATTATCTTAAAGTTCTCTTTTTGTAGAGTAAGTAATAAAATAAATTTTGTTAATTTCATTTAAAAGAGAAACAAATGAAGTAAAAAATGATGAAAGATATAAGAAAATAATTCTACACAATATAAACATCAACTTTTTTTAAAGTATAATATTTCTCCTATATGAAGTCTCTAAAATATAACTTTAATTGGTTAAATATTACATAAGGCAAGAACATAAGTGAAATAAATATTTATAGTTGAATNTTTATTTTGAAAGACCCAAGTTATAATAGTATTCAAAAAAGTAAACATTAAAGTACAATTTATATATAAATATTTAGTTTTGGTTTGCAAAATTATGTATAATTACTAATTTATAAGCTAAAAACTAGAATTCTGATTATAGCTGAAATTGATTTGAACCAAAAGCTTTTAAATGTAATTCATTAATTACAATCTTCTAGTATACTATATTATATAGATAAACTATTGTACTATATATACAGATACTATATAAAAGAATAGAATAAAAATAATTTAAATTTGATGTGTATATATATACATGCCACATCACTGATAAATACCTGCCATGCCCTGCCCCAATAAGCCAACTGCCATGTCACTGTAATTTATTAATTAAGCAAACAGAGTACAGCTACTTATACAGAATGCTACTTTTGTTAATTAATAATTAATAATAATATAAATATAAATTTGAAGGTAAACAACACATGTCCAGTGACAACCTCTCAGATTCCAGATGGGTTTATAAAAAGTAAAGCAGAATTCCTCAAAATGTATCCCAAATTATTTTAAAAGTGGCCCAAATAGTAGTAAGTCATCCATATGAAGCCTAGCGCCCTACAAATATCTCAATCTACTACTTGTAGCCCAATCTTGCCATCTCAAAACCCAGCTGTATTTTATGAGATAAGAGAAAAAAAAGGGTAGTCCGACACCTGAAAATGTGTTACTGTAAAAGCAAAGCCATATTGACCAGATTAGAGTTGTTCTTGGTCTATTGTTCTCTTTTAGTATGGAGGTACTTCAATCTAAATGAACCAGTTAACATACTCTTATCACAGTTTAGCCAGAATTTCAAAGTAACCATATTTCGAACTAAATTCCTTAACAACACATAAATCTCTATATTCCCAGTCAGAACAAAAGTACAGTTATGAACCAATGGGATTTCAAACTAGCTGAGTTCAAATTAATGAGGATTTCTTGTATATATATATACAAGGTCTGTTCAAAAAGTATCGGACCTTTTTTTTTTCCGCGTAAACCAATGATGCGCGAGAGGCCTCCTTCGGTGGAGTTGTGGAGGGGGACAGTCATGCACAGCCCTGAATTTTTTCCCGCCTGCAGGAAGCGTCAGTCGTTGGCAATCGGCCTATGAGTGAGTTCATAAAACAGACAATAAAAACTGTGATATTGATAAACAACAAGAAGATAATGTTTACCATATGAAGCCTAGCGCCCTACAAATATCTTGTACGACTGCTCAAAATATACGGTAGAAAGAGAAANCCCACCGTGTGTATATATATATATATATATATGCATATATATATATATATATATACACAGGGTGGGGCATAATGGAGTCCCACATTTATGAGGTGAATTAAAGGTTTTTTGGTTAAGTTTTAAAAATGATGATGTCCCACTAGGTGACGTAAACAAGAGAGTTGTCAGTAGTCAACATGCTGTTGTCAGGTGAACAATGGGGCTTCGTCGTGAAGGCTTTTTTCAAAAACACAGAGTCTGTGACTGCAACACAGAGGCATTTCACACACAATTTTGTTTAAATGCAAAGGAAAGTGTTCCTGATTGGAGAATGATTTTGAAATGGGTCCAAAAGGGCAACAGGATCTGCAAATCCTAAAAAGTCAGTTGGGCATCCCAAATCTGTGAGGACACCTGCAAACATCACCACACTCAGAACAGTATAGAGCAGTCTCCAACATGTTCTGCTCAAAAATATGTCATCTTTCTCTGCTTCTACTTCTACTGTGTCATCTCCAGATGATTCCCAGTTGACTAATCGCTTTACAAGAAGCCGTTGAATGGCCCCTCGCTCCCCTGATTTGAGCTCCTGTGACTTTTTCTTATGGGGATATCTCAAGGCAGAGGTTTTTAAACATTGCCCTCAAACCCTACAAGAACTCAAGGAGGCCATTCATGAGGAACTTGCCAAAATTCCTCCAGATATGCTGGTAAGAAGTGAAGAAAACTTCAAGGAACAGCTCCAAATGTACATCGCTCATGATGGACAACATTTGGATGCCATCATTTTTAAAACCTAACCAAAAATAACTTTCTTACATGTACTTTGATTAAATAAAAAGTTTTTCCATATTATTGTACTGTTTTTTGTTAATTCACCTCATAAATGTGGGACTCCATTATGCCCCACCCTGTATATGCATTAAATTTTAAATTTTTAGATTTTTTTACACAACCATCATTTGAATGCATGTTAATGCACCTAAATGTTTATGTTAGATTAGCAAATTTAATTCAGGAAATATCTTCTCATCACAATGTCAAATCTATGACAAAATAATTTCCTATCTAGATTATTTCAATAAATATTATTATTTCAAGAATCTGATTTATAATATAAATTAATTCTTGTTCATTCCTCTATTCGTATTTACTTCATTCCATATTAAAAATTGTTATTTAGCTTGAAAACTATATTATACAATATTTCTCTGTATAAATATGTATATGTAACTGCATATTATATTTAATACTTATTTTTCATTAATCTTAGAACAATTTTTTATATTTTTCTCACTATTGAACAATTATATTTATATTTATCTTCAAAATATTATGAAATTTTTGTATTCTAAATGTTTTTACAAATGTAAATTTATAAATACAGATATGTACATTTTTTGATATAAAGATTATAAAGAAATATTAATTAGATATCAACAACTTTTTGAGAAAGTTCAGCAACCATCTTCTGTTGAACTATGATGTAACTCAGAAATATAAAAAAACTTTACAAATAGTTATTCAATCATTTGTTAAATGAATAAAATATGTTATTCATGAACTACTTATTAATATAAAAACCAAAGTCTGTTATACTGTTATTATTAATAGATCTTCCTTAGTTAGGACTAGCAAATTGAATACATAAATAGCATTTTGCAATTAAAACAGAACAAAATTTGTATTTTTACATTTATTATATTTGTATTTTAATAAATTTGTATTTATAATAAATAAATAAGTATACAAATTTGTGTATTTATTTGTTTATTTAATAAATTTGTTTTTATAATAAATAAATTATAAATATAAATTTATGTATTTTTAAATACATAATATAAATTATTTAAATAAATAAATAGCATTTTTAAATGCTATTTATGTATTCAATTCATTAGTCCTAACTTAGGAGGAACTATGAATAGGTCAAAAATGTTTTTTTGTTGTTATTAATATTAATATTCTTCTATTATTTATTAATAGAAGAATATTACTTATTCTTATTTATAATAATTATTTAACAATATTTATTAATGTTATTCATTTTATAATTATAATATCAAAATCAAATTGTGACCAGATGGCACTACTTCATATCATTCAGCATGATCATTTTTTATTTAGAATTTGCCTTATCTCATTAAAGAAACTGAATGAATATTAAGGTCTCTGTTACTCAGAAAATACAACAAGGAAATCTTTTTCAAAGCTATAGAAATTTTGGTATGGTTCTGTATCTGAGATTCAAATGATGGAAGCATCTATATTGTCATGATCTGCCACATTGTCCCAGTCAGGTCAATCTAACAAGTGAGTAGCATTCAATGGGAGCATAATATATTAAATAGGAAAGGGATGTAAAAAATTCAGTTCATTCTTTTTCCCTATGTTACAGTAACATATTAACAAGGGGCTCTGACCGACTAAACTGGAACAAAAGGCAGGACCATTAATTACACAGTTTCCCACCATAATGAACAGAAATCATATAATTATCTAATCAGCTAATTACCTAGTGATACTATATTTTAATTCATTAAGTGATTTTACATTAAAAGCATATGATATTACCTTTTTGCAGTAAATTAATGATTAAAATTATTTAATTTAATTTTAAAATATTTAAAAGAAAAGATTAACTCAAAATGGAAATTTAACTTGCAATCTGAACAAAATGGTGAGGTACATTATCCAGATTTCTGATCTGATCTTTGCCTCCAAATTATATAATAACTTTAAATAACATAAACCATGAAAGTCAACTTTCACTTCAAGTGGAAACACATTCATCTATGTTCCCTATATTCAGCTGGCTGCAACTTTCATCTCAAAATGAAATGATCTACATGATTCTAAATTATTTATAATCCTAGAGATAATTAAATGGATCAAAAATCTGACAATAATTAAAACACTTCTCTGACTTGCAAAGATTGCAAATTCAAATGCTATTGTACATTAATCTTTTTCTAGATAGTTCTAAATTGTTAATCTAATTAAAATTTAATTTTAAACATAAAATTTTTTAAATGATAGCAACTAGAACTATGCTAAACCAAAATTTTTATATCTTCATTGATATTAGGCTTGATACTGAATATCATAATATTGAATTAGTCATATTTAATAATTAATAAAAATCATAGTGTTAATATAGCTCAAGGCTGATCTAGTAGATGATTCTGACTCATTTTCTTATAATTAGGGCCAGAGTTTATATTTTCATTCATATTTTTATATAATTGAAAAATAAATAGTAATGACAATTCCATTAACAGAAAGTTTCAAAAATAAATAAAATATAGAAATAAATACAATTATAAACAAACTATCAAAATTAAAAACCTATAATTTTGAAACTTAGTGCAATAATACACAACTGTAATATGTTACTACAATTTATATAAATTATCATATTAATTAATTTAAATAAAAACACTTTACATAATATTAAGAAATTATGTATATAAAATATAAAGTTTGATATATATATATATATAAAACTTTATATTTTATAATAAACAAATTTATATTTTAGATATATTTCAATTTAAATATACTAACTTCTTCTTCCAAGTGGTAGTGACTAAGAGCAATTCTAACTGCAGTTAAAACAGATTCTGCAAAAATGGGTATATCAGAAACTTCAACTTGAGAATAATGTTTGACTGCAGAAGTTGTTTTGCCCTCCAACAAATTTCTGAAAAGGAAAATATTCACAGAAAAAAAATATGAAGTACATAAATTCCCTGTGATTATTAATAACAACTGAAATATATAAAAGATAAAATTTTCTAAGGATAAAAACATCACATCATAATAAAACTATAGATAAATAAATAATGAAACAAAACATTTTCAACAGATAAAACTATTATTATTTTAATTTCATCTTTTACTTTGATAAAATGGAATTAGTAATTTCATAAATTTATCTGGTAACATATAAATGAAATAAAAAGTGAATTCATTTTATATTTATATATTCATCAGCAATGAAAATTCTAACAATTCTGTTTGTAATGATAGCCAAATCTAACAATCTTTAAAAAAGTTTTATTTAAGTATTAAAAATTCTCAAAAATGTTTTTCCCATCACCAGAATGTATAACTAAATATATACAGGTATCCCTTGTACAACACGGTTTCACTCTAACATGGTTCGAAAATTGGGGAAATCCCCTGCCCAACATGACTTCTGGTTTCATTCTAACATGGTTTGAAAATCCTCCATAGAAAATTTCACAAGTTTTAAGTGCAAACTCCTTTATTCAATATTTTTTTTATTCAAGTAAGCATGTGTTTTGTCTCAAATTTGCCTTCTGATTTTAGAATACTGAAATTTTCAATTGATTTTGTGCCTTTTGTCAGGTTTAATGAAACTGATAGTGCAATTTTTTTTTCTTCCTTGTCCTAGCTTTCCTATCAACCAGGCCTTGTTGTTAATGCTTTCAGACTAGTCCTTAAGACAGTCACTGTATTTTCTTTTTATACATTAATCTTCATATTTAGTAAAGTTTATTTAAATATTTTTATGCAAGTGTTATCAACCTTTTTTTACCGTAGATAAGTAATAATTCGTAAAAATGATGAATAGAATACGGTTGTATCTTGGTACTCAAACTGTGCCCAAATTGAACAATCCATTATTCAAACACAAATTATGGAAAAAAATCACTTAGTACTCAACTGAACAAACACGACCTGCTAAGACAAATTTTCAATTAATAACAGATTTTTATTTTGTCTCACAAAAAATTTTATGGTAAAAATTAAAAAATGAAAATGTTGCTGATATTTCCAATCAAAATCAAGAAAAAAGTTCAGAAAATTACAATACTTTGTAAAAAAAAACCTCATGTTACTAAAGTTAACATTAACACATAATACAGTATCTTAATTGTGATTGTTACTTGATTATTGATTGAAAATAAATTATTGATTACTTTAATAAACATGTTTCTCTTAGAAACAAAAAAAGAATAGTACACTTTTGTTAACTTCTGGAACCTAATCGTATGTTTTGTACTAGTCCCTCGTTTCGTATAGAATGGATTTGCATAACATGGCACTTTTTCAGAACATAACTACCATGTTGTACAAGGGATATATGTATGTATGTATACATACATACATACAGGTATCAACTCTTATTTTTCATTATTGTACTATAACTAGTTGTTTCTATATATTTCCTACAGTTGCCAACCTGTATCAATACATAGGTGAAACTGGAAAAGCCCTAAAAATCAGACAAGAGAATATTTATGCACTGTAAAATATAATTACACTAACTCAGCAGTGGCCATACATTGTAATGGAGAAGATTGTGAAATTTCACTTGATGATGTTAAAATCCTCAAAAAAGAAAAAAATGTTATTAAAAGGAAATTACATGAACATTTAGAAATTATTAAAATAAATGAATATAAAATGAACTTAAATGATGGTCTACCTATTAGTGACATCCGGCAACCACTTCTTCATGATAGGTAGAGTTCACTTGAAATCCCATCCAAAATCCCTCCCCCATCCAGTTATAATACAGTGTTGTACTTTTGTCAATTTATGTTGATTTTCATACAGTATAATTTGTACAATTTTATAGTGGTTTTAAAAGCTTTTAATTTAAACTTTTTTGAAGAAAAGTTTTCAAACCCACATTTTTAATTTCGTTTGTTAGTTTTTATTCAAAAAATTTGTTTTAAATCTTACCAACTTGTAATTTTATCCATCTACAGGTAGTAGCTATTTAAATTATTTTTTGAAAAATTATATGTTTTTAAAAAATTTTATTTATTTAATTTTTTTTATTTATCTACTTCAATTTTATTTTATACAGCACCTTTTTTTTAAACAAATCTTTATAATATATCTAGTTAATTGCCCAATTTTTAATTTCAATTTGTATTCAATAATCAGCTAGTGTAAATAAAAAAATATTTTTAAAAATATTATCTGTAAACACATATATGTGATGTAATTTATAACTATTATTTGCTTTGATAAAATACATATAAAAAATAAGGACTGAAGAGGGGTTATTAAGAAAAAAATACATGCATGTTCACATCCAGTAATAAAGTCTATATCAATAAGAGTTGCTTGTGTGATGTAAGTTACTGACAAAAAAAGCCAAAAATTTTAGGCTTAGAAAAAATCCAAGTAAATAAAGATAAAAATCAGCTTTTCTAATCAATCAGCAATCTATCTAGCTTTAATGGAAATGAAGGGAATATTTTTTCAATTTATTTATTTTATTACCATTTTTTGAATAAATCAACTATAAGACTTTAATAAAAATAGTGTTGACATAAAAATAAACTTTATATTTTTCTCTTTCAAAATTGCTTTAAAATACCTAATTTCATATGAAACTTTCATCTTTTCTCCTCTAACAAGACCATAATTATTGCAAAATTTCATACAATTTACTTTATAACAAAAAATATAAATTTAATTTTGTAATATCAATTTTAAAATGGTTAAAAAATTATTGCAAAGACTTACTTTAATTTAAACTATTGAATTTTTTAAAAATAATTACAATGTACTGTACAAAAAAACTGTGTGGATTTATAAAATAATAATAAACAGAAAATGAAATTTAAAACTATTAAATAATTGTCTTTCCTTGTTTGAAATAAATCACTGCATAATTAAATAAGAAATTCATATTTAATTTGAGAGTTTTTATTTAAAAAAGTAAGAACTTACTGTAAAAATAAACAAACAAAAATATATAACTTAATATTTAAAAAAAACTGAAGTTTTAAATTATATCTTTAGTAAAACAATAAAATGTCTCTAAATATAATTAAAATTCAAAAAATGAAATATTTACTTGAAAATAAATTGTCCTCTATTTTCTAAATGTTCTTGTAAATGATCAATCCAATTTTGATGATAAGCATCATCAACAATAATTTGTGCTATATCTTTATATATGGCATATAATGAATTCAACTGATATTTTAATTGTATATTAGTATTTTCAATTTTATTTTCCATTTCTTCTTCTTCTTTTATCTATAAATTAAAATTATTTTGTAGTAATAGTATCAAAGCATAAGTTTTTAAAAATTGATAAGACTGTTTAATACCATTTTATCAATTTTATTTCTTAAAGTATCAATTGTTTCTTCTTTTTCTTCAATATTGTTTTTAGCTTTCTCATTTTGTACAGTAAGGTCATGAATCCTATTTTAAAATATTCCAATTATATTTGTTGAAATTAAAATTCATTGAATTTAATATAAAATTTTCAAATTACACTAAGTTTTTATATATTTACAAAAATAAGAAAGGTGATTTTATACTTTAAAATGTCTAACTGAACTTACTTTTCTTTGTATTCATTCTTTTCTACTTCATATTTAACTTGTAACTTTTTAAATTCTTGAGTAATTTTCTGAAGTTCAATATTCAACATATCTGTCTCCTTAAATTTTATAAAATATATCAATTTTTAGTGAACTTTTGAAGTAATATGGTATATAAGAAATATTTAGAACTTCTAAATTATCAAACCCAATACTTATTTTGATAATTTAATTTGTAAAATATTTAAAAAAAAAGTTCAGCATAACAAATCTTTAAATAATAAAGAAAAATGATTATTCAAATAACTTAAACTTTAATTTGTTTCTTAATTCTTAAATAAGATTTTGAAATTGAAAGACTTAATTTATTTTAAATTACAATCTTCTTGAATTTAAGAATATTGTGGGTTTCTGAAAACTGTAAAAAAGTCTCTTAAAAATTAAAACTAAAATTATCACATAGTTAAATAAAAAAATAAAACATTTGTGAAAAATTTAAATGTAGTATATTAAAATTATTAACTATTTTAATATTTAAATTAAATAAAACAAAACTCATCTAAAAAAACTTAAAAAATAAATTAAGTATATTTTAATTTAAGGTCAGTTCACCTGAGATAGTGATGAATTAGCTAACAAATTTAAACAAGCTCCTGTCATATGACTTGCTGAAAGTGTTATATCTGACTTTAAAGTCGTTAAATCACGTGCGGTACTCATTTTCATTTCTGCAAATTCATGTCGAAAGTTAAGTAATTGCCTCCAAAGATTCAGCAACTTACTATGTTCTTCAGTGAAATAATCATTTAAAGTCTGTAATAAAAATTTTGCAATTTTACAAAGTTTTCAAACATATTATTTTTCTACATAATAAGATTAATAAATAAATGTATTTTTGAGATGGAAATCATAACAATATGGTAATAAAATATAATATACATATACATATACAAATATCTGGAAACCTGATATATTATTCATAAGCCAACAACTATTAGATTATATCAGGCTATTTATTCATAATTATTTTAAATTCATTTCTAAATAATTTGTCCCTAAAGGGCAGTGTTAGATGTCATCTCTCATTAATTTTAATAATTAAAATTAAATAATTTAGAAAGTTCTTAAAGAAAAAATCAACCCAAAGCAGGACTTGAACCCACAACTCCCACTTACCATGTGGTCAAATTGTCGGTTATGCTACCCAAGCCCCCTGGACTGATTTCCTCTTCCAGACATATTTAATTATGATATAACCATTCTGAGTTACTTAGCTGGGGATGCCTTCAGCATCATCATCCTATAATCCCATAAAGTATTATATCATAATTAAATACATCTGGAAGAGAAAATTGGTTAGGAGACTCAGGTAGCATAACTGGCAATACAACCGCATGGTAAGTGGGTTGTATTGCAGGTTCAAGTTCCACTTTGGACCGATTGTTTACAATTTTAAATATCTTGATATGCCTAATCAATAATATAAGAAATCTATTAAACAGTCCAATACAATCTATTTACCAAAAGATTTAATTATTTATAGTATATATAAGATTTGTTCAAAAAATAACTGAAGTTTTTGAATAGGGAAAAAACAGCGTCCCCTAGTGTCGTGAAGTTGACAACACTATGTTCATGATAACCTACCAAATAAGCTGCTTATTTTGGATTGTTGATATCTCATTTCATTCACATGTTATTGTTTTTTGAGTGAAAGGTGTTTCAGTGTTCATGGAGATTTTTGCAATGTGCAATTTATGGGAACAATAATGCAACATATATGGAAACATTTCAACTTTTGAATCAAGTTTATGGGAAGTGATGCTCTAGGTCATACACAGCATTATGAATGGTTTACCCAATTCAAAAATGGTTGTCAATTAGTTGAAGATGACTCTCAACCAGGAAAGCCTTCGACTTCAACTGATGACACTCACATTCAAAAATCAGAGTTGTGCACTTTGAATTTTTGCCTCACGGTCAAACAGTCAACCATCAGTACTAAACAGGTGTTCTGAAACAATGAGTGAAAAAATTTGCAANCCCACCGTGTGTATATATATATATATATATATGCATATATATATATATATATATACACAGGGTGGGGCATAATGGAGTCCCACATTTATGAGGTGAATTAAAGGTTTTTTGGTTAAGTTTTAAAAATGATGATGTCCCACTAGGTGACGTAAACAAGAGAGTTGTCAGTAGTCAACATGCTGTTGTCAGGTGAACAATGGGGCTTCGTCGTGAAGGCTTTTTTCAAAAACACAGAGTCTGTGACTGCAACACAGAGGCATTTCACACACAATTTTGTTTAAATGCAAAGGAAAGTGTTCCTGATTGGAGAATGATTTTGAAATGGGTCCAAAAGGGCAACAGGATCTGCAAATCCTAAAAAGTCAGTTGGGCATCCCAAATCTGTGAGGACACCTGCAAACATCACCACACTCAGAACAGTATAGAGCAGTCTCCAACATGTTCTGCTCAAAAATATGTCATCTTTCTCTGCTTCTACTTCTACTGTGTCATCTCCAGATGATTCCCAGTTGACTAATCGCTTTACAAGAAGCCGTTGAATGGCCCCTCGCTCCCCTGATTTGAGCTCCTGTGACTTTTTCTTATGGGGATATCTCAAGGCAGAGGTTTTTAAACATTGCCCTCAAACCCTACAAGAACTCAAGGAGGCCATTCATGAGGAACTTGCCAAAATTCCTCCAGATATGCTGGTAAGAAGTGAAGAAAACTTCAAGGAACAGCTCCAAATGTACATCGCTCATGATGGACAACATTTGGATGCCATCATTTTTAAAACCTAACCAAAAATAACTTTCTTACATGTACTTTGATTAAATAAAAAGTTTTTCCATATTATTGTACTGTTTTTTGTTAATTCACCTCATAAATGTGGGACTCCATTATGCCCCACCCTGTATATGCATTAAATTTTAAATTTTTAGATTTTTTTACACAACCATCATTTGAATGCATGTTAATGCACCTAAATGTTTATGTTAGATTAGCAAATTTAATTCAGGAAATATCTTCTCATCACAATGTCAAATCTATGACAAAATAATTTCCTATCTAGATTATTTCAATAAATATTATTATTTCAAGAATCTGATTTATAATATAAATTAATTCTTGTTCATTCCTCTATTCGTATTTACTTCATTCCATATTAAAAATTGTTATTTAGCTTGAAAACTATATTATACAATATTTCTCTGTATAAATATGTATATGTAACTGCATATTATATTTAATACTTATTTTTCATTAATCTTAGAACAATTTTTTATATTTTTCTCACTATTGAACAATTATATTTATATTTATCTTCAAAATATTATGAAATTTTTGTATTCTAAATGTTTTTACAAATGTAAATTTATAAATACAGATATGTACATTTTTTGATATAAAGATTATAAAGAAATATTAATTAGATATCAACAACTTTTTGAGAAAGTTCAGCAACCATCTTCTGTTGAACTATGATGTAACTCAGAAATATAAAAAAACTTTACAAATAGTTATTCAATCATTTGTTAAATGAATAAAATATGTTATTCATGAACTACTTATTAATATAAAAACCAAAGTCTGTTATACTGTTATTATTAATAGATCTTCCTTAGTTAGGACTAGCAAATTGAATACATAAATAGCATTTTGCAATTAAAACAGAACAAAATTTGTATTTTTACATTTATTATATTTGTATTTTAATAAATTTGTATTTATAATAAATAAATAAGTATACAAATTTGTGTATTTATTTGTTTATTTAATAAATTTGTTTTTATAATAAATAAATTATAAATATAAATTTATGTATTTTTAAATACATAATATAAATTATTTAAATAAATAAATAGCATTTTTAAATGCTATTTATGTATTCAATTCATTAGTCCTAACTTAGGAGGAACTATGAATAGGTCAAAAATGTTTTTTTGTTGTTATTAATATTAATATTCTTCTATTATTTATTAATAGAAGAATATTACTTATTCTTATTTATAATAATTATTTAACAATATTTATTAATGTTATTCATTTTATAATTATAATATCAAAATCAAATTGTGACCAGATGGCACTACTTCATATCATTCAGCATGATCATTTTTTATTTAGAATTTGCCTTATCTCATTAAAGAAACTGAATGAATATTAAGGTCTCTGTTACTCAGAAAATACAACAAGGAAATCTTTTTCAAAGCTATAGAAATTTTGGTATGGTTCTGTATCTGAGATTCAAATGATGGAAGCATCTATATTGTCATGATCTGCCACATTGTCCCAGTCAGGTCAATCTAACAAGTGAGTAGCATTCAATGGGAGCATAATATATTAAATAGGAAAGGGATGTAAAAAATTCAGTTCATTCTTTTTCCCTATGTTACAGTAACATATTAACAAGGGGCTCTGACCGACTAAACTGGAACAAAAGGCAGGACCATTAATTACACAGTTTCCCACCATAATGAACAGAAATCATATAATTATCTAATCAGCTAATTACCTAGTGATACTATATTTTAATTCATTAAGTGATTTTACATTAAAAGCATATGATATTACCTTTTTGCAGTAAATTAATGATTAAAATTATTTAATTTAATTTTAAAATATTTAAAAGAAAAGATTAACTCAAAATGGAAATTTAACTTGCAATCTGAACAAAATGGTGAGGTACATTATCCAGATTTCTGATCTGATCTTTGCCTCCAAATTATATAATAACTTTAAATAACATAAACCATGAAAGTCAACTTTCACTTCAAGTGGAAACACATTCATCTATGTTCCCTATATTCAGCTGGCTGCAACTTTCATCTCAAAATGAAATGATCTACATGATTCTAAATTATTTATAATCCTAGAGATAATTAAATGGATCAAAAATCTGACAATAATTAAAACACTTCTCTGACTTGCAAAGATTGCAAATTCAAATGCTATTCTACATTAATCTTTTTCTAGATAGTTCTAAATTGTTAATCTAATTAAAATTTAATTTTANTATATATATGGGATTATTGATTCTGTTGTTGTATTGGTTTTTCTTCTGATCCTATCTCAATGAAAATTTATTTAATTTTTTAGAAATGTTCTTAATAGTTAGTGTTTCTCAAATGATGAAAAAAGTAACTCTTAGTAAAGTAATCTGTAACAAAACAATTTAAAATGATATATTTTAGATATATTTCAATTTAAATATACTAACTTCTTCTTCCAAGTGGTAGTGACTAAGAGCAATTCTAACTGCAGTTAAAACAGATTCTGCAAAAATGGGTATATCAGAAACTTCAACTTGAGAATAATGTTTGACTGCAGAAGTTGTTTTGCCCTCCAACAAATTTCTGAAAAGGAAAATATTCACAGAAAAAAAATATGAAGTACATAAATTCCCTGTGATTATTAATAACAACTGAAATATATAAAAGATAAAATTTTCTAAGGATAAAAACATCACATCATAATAAAACTATAGATAAATAAATAATGAAACAAAACATTTTCAACAGATAAAACTATTATTATTTTAATTTCATCTTTTACTTTGATAAAATGGAATTAGTAATTTCATAAATTTATCTGGTAACATATAAATGAAATAAAAAGTGAATTCATTTTATATTTATATATTCATCAGCAATGAAAATTCTAACAATTCTGTTTGTAATGATAGCCAAATCTAACAATCTTTAAAAAAGTTTTATTTAAGTATTAAAAATTCTCAAAAATGTTTTTCCCATCACCAGAATGTATAACTAAATATATACAGGTATCCCTTGTACAACACGGTTTCACTCTAACATGGTTCGAAAATTGGGGAAATCCCCTGCCCAACATGACTTCTGGTTTCATTCTAACATGGTTTGAAAATCCTCCATAGAAAATTTCACAAGTTTTAAGTGCAAACTCCTTTATTCAATATTTTTTTTATTCAAGTAAGCATGTGTTTTGTCTCAAATTTGCCTTCTGATTTTAGAATACTGAAATTTTCAATTGATTTTGTGCCTTTTGTCAGGTTTAATGAAACTGATAGTGCAATTTTTTTTTCTTCCTTGTCCTAGCTTTCCTATCAACCAGGCCTTGTTGTTAATGCTTTCAGACTAGTCCTTAAGACAGTCACTGTATTTTCTTTTTATACATTAATCTTCATATTTAGTAAAGTTTATTTAAATATTTTTATGCAAGTGTTATCAACCTTTTTTTACCGTAGATAAGTAATAATTCGTAAAAATGATGAATAGAATACGGTTGTATCTTGGTACTCAAACTGTGCCCAAATTGAACAATCCATTATTCAAACACAAATTATGGAAAAAAATCACTTAGTACTCAACTGAACAAACACGACCTGCTAAGACAAATTTTCAATTAATAACAGATTTTTATTTTGTCTCACAAAAAATTTTATGGTAAAAATTAAAAAATGAAAATGTTGCTGATATTTCCAATCAAAATCAAGAAAAAAGTTCAGAAAATTACAATACTTTGTAAAAAAAAACCTCATGTTACTAAAGTTAACATTAACACATAATACAGTATCTTAATTGTGATTGTTACTTGATTATTGATTGAAAATAAATTATTGATTACTTTAATAAACATGTTTCTCTTAGAAACAAAAAAAGAATAGTACACTTTTGTTAACTTCTGGAACCTAATCGTATGTTTTGTACTAGTCCCTCGTTTCGTATAGAATGGATTTGCATAACATGGCACTTTTTCAGAACATAACTACCATGTTGTACAAGGGATATATGTATGTATGTATACATACATACATACAGGTATCAACTCTTATTTTTCATTATTGTACTATAACTAGTTGTTTCTATATATTTCCTACAGTTGCCAACCTGTATCAATACATAGGTGAAACTGGAAAAGCCCTAAAAATCAGACAAGAGAATATTTATGCACTGTAAAATATAATTACACTAACTCAGCAGTGGCCATACATTGTAATGGAGAAGATTGTGAAATTTCACTTGATGATGTTAAAATCCTCAAAAAAGAAAAAAATGTTATTAAAAGGAAATTACATGAACATTTAGAAATTATTAAAATAAATGAATATAAAATGAACTTAAATGATGGTCTACCTATTAGTGACATCCGGCAACCACTTCTTCATGATAGGTAGAGTTCACTTGAAATCCCATCCAAAATCCCTCCCCCATCCAGTTATAATACAGTGTTGTACTTTTGTCAATTTATGTTGATTTTCATACAGTATAATTTGTACAATTTTATAGTGGTTTTAAAAGCTTTTAATTTAAACTTTTTTGAAGAAAAGTTTTCAAACCCACATTTTTAATTTCGTTTGTTAGTTTTTATTCAAAAAATTTGTTTTAAATCTTACCAACTTGTAATTTTATCCATCTACAGGTAGTAGCTATTTAAATTATTTTTTGAAAAATTATATGTTTTTAAAAAATTTTATTTATTTAATTTTTTTTATTTATCTACTTCAATTTTATTTTATACAGCACCTTTTTTTTAAACAAATCTTTATAATATATCTAGTTAATTGCCCAATTTTTAATTTCAATTTGTATTCAATAATCAGCTAGTGTAAATAAAAAAATATTTTTAAAAATATTATCTGTAAACACATATATGTGATGTAATTTATAACTATTATTTGCTTTGATAAAATACATATAAAAAATAAGGACTGAAGAGGGGTTATTAAGAAAAAAATACATGCATGTTCACATCCAGTAATAAAGTCTATATCAATAAGAGTTGCTTGTGTGATGTAAGTTACTGACAAAAAAAGCCAAAAATTTTAGGCTTAGAAAAAATCCAAGTAAATAAAGATAAAAATCAGCTTTTCTAATCAATCAGCAATCTATCTAGCTTTAATGGAAATGAAGGGAATATTTTTTCAATTTATTTATTTTATTACCATTTTTTGAATAAATCAACTATAAGACTTTAATAAAAATAGTGTTGACATAAAAATAAACTTTATATTTTTCTCTTTCAAAATTGCTTTAAAATACCTAATTTCATATGAAACTTTCATCTTTNTCAATAATATAAGAAATCTATTAAACAGTCCAATACAATCTATTTACCAAAAGATTTAATTATTTATAGTATATATAAGATTTGTTCAAAAAATAACTGAAGTTTTTGAATAGGGAAAAAACAGCGTCCCCTAGTGTCGTGAAGTTGACAACACTATGTTCATGATAACCTACCAAATAAGCTGCTTATTTTGGATTGTTGATATCTCATTTCATTCCCATGTTATTGTTTTTTGAGTGAAAGGTGTTTCAGTGTTCATGGAGATTTTTGCAATGTGCAATTTATGGGAACAATAATGCAACATATATGGAAACATTTCAACTTTTGAATCAAGTTTATGGGAAGTGATGCTCTAGGTCATACACAGCATTATGAATGGTTTACCCAATTCAAAAATGGTTGTCAATTAGTTGAAGATGACTCTCAACCAGGAAAGCCTTCGACTTCAACTGATGACACTCACATTCAAAAATCAGAGTTGTGCACTTTGAATTTTTGCCTCACGGTCAAACAGTCAACCATCAGTACTAAACAGGTGTTCTGAAACAATGAGTGAAAAAATTTGCAAAAAGAGACCAGAGTTGTGGCAAGACAATTCATGGTTCCTTCACCATAACAACACGCCTGTTCACTCAGCCTTGTCAATTCACCCGTTTTGTGCCAAAAATCAGGCGACTATGCTCCCCAGCCCCCTTACTCACCAGACCTAACTCATTATGATTTTTTCTTGTTTCGAAGATTAAAATCAGTGCTGAAAGGATGATGTTTTGACACAATTGATGACATTAAAACAAATTTGTCACAAGCATTGAAGGACAATCCAAAACAAGCTTGCCAGGACTGCTTTGCAAAGTGGAAACATCACTGGGATAAGTGTATGAATAGGGAAGGGGAGTACTTTGAAGGGGACAAGGTCCAATAATCTGTAACTTGAAGAATAAAAATTAAAAAATTAAAGTTTATTTATTTTTTGAACAGACCTCATATTTCTTATTTATTTATTTTAGAAACTCCATATAGATAACATATTCAGAAGTAAAAATTATATTCAGCTTGTTTCTTACTCTGAGAATTAAGTATTTCAGATCTTTCTCACATTTTTAAATTTATTTATTTGCCTCTTTTAATTTTATAATGAAAAATAATGCTTGTAGCACACTTTTTCTTAATTTTAAAACAAAAATATCTAATAATTTACTAATTTGTTACTTTAAAACTTTTCCATTAGTTAAAATTAAATAATACAGCTTCTTACATTTTAATTTGAATACTTTTACAATAACCTCTGATACTTGTAAAATAATCTTTTATTTTAGATTTCCATTTCATTAATTACATTCCTTTCTTTATTATCAAGATTATCTTAAAGTTCTCTTTTTGTAGAGTAAGTAATAAAATAAATTTTGTTAATTTCATTTAAAAGAGAAACAAATGAAGTAAAAAATGATGAAAGATATAAGAAAATAATTCTACACAATATAAACATCAACTTTTTTTAAAGTATAATATTTCTCCTATATGAAGTCTCTAAAATATAACTTTAATTGGTTAAATATTACATAAGGCAAGAACATAAGTGAAATAAATATTTATAGTTGAATTCATTCATTTATAAATGCACATGTTATCAATGGTTCTTTTCACTCAATTAAAAAAGCAAACTATTTCAAATACTTTATATGCATTTCAAAAAATTGCTAATAAATTTAGATTCGATAAACACTGATTTTAATTAATGCACTTTTACTAATTAGTGATCTATATGTTGTGTTAATGATTTATTTTAAGTAAAAAGAAATCATTAACAAACCAGTTATATATCAGTAAGCTAATTTCTTCCAGAAATATGTATCTAATTTTATAAAGAATAAACATTATTACTAATTTTAATTCATTTTACATACTTGTTCTTCTTCCCTCCATTCTGATTCTCTTATATCTAATTCTTTTCTTGTATGTTGCCATTCTTCAGTTAATCGATGTATATCTGCTGTAAGAGCTTGATTTGCTTGAGTTGCTACATCTAATTGTTCTCTCAACATATTATTAGCTTCAGTGAGTTTCTGACATCTAAATAATATAAAAACAATAAAAAAACATGCTTCACATCTTAATAGTCAAAGAAGTTCTCAAAAGCATCTACACTGAAGAGCCATTACATTATGACAACCTCTCACCTAGAGTAGCGAGCTGTCCCAGATACAAAACAACAGTGCTTACGCAGCTCATACAGCTGTATATAAACAGCCAAACGAACTGTGTTTCTGAATGTAGAGTTTTGGGCTGTGTCATGGGAAAAGCAGCAGATTTATCAGACTTCGATAAAGGACAAATCGTTATGGCTAGGTGATCTCATTGGGAACATTGATCTCAGAAACAGTCAATTGGTGGGATGTTCACGTGCAGTCATTTTTAGTACTTATTGAAAGTGGTGTACGAATGGAGAAACGAGAAGTCAACAGCCAGCTGTATGCTGTCCATGGTGCATTGATTCCAGAGGGGAGCAGAGACTATTATGCATTGTTTGCCTTGACCGAAAGGCTACAGTGGCCCAAATCACCAGCAGCTACAACACTGATCACCAAAACAATGTGTCTCAGCACACAGTGCAGCATACTCTTCTGCACATGGGCCTGCATAGCCACCAGCCCAGCTGAGTCCCCATGCTTACAGCATATCATCAACAGTGCTTGCAATGGGTCAGGGAACATTGCAATTGGACCTTAGAGGAATGGAAGAAAGTTGTCTGGTCTGATGAGTCATGTTTTCAGGTCCATCATGTTGACGATCAAGTACAGATATGCTGATTTCCAAAGGAGACAGATCATGGCAGCCGGATGTACAGTTGGATGGATACAAGCCGGTGGAGGCGGTATTAAGGTGTGGGTGATGTTTTCATGGGACACATTAGAATCCATCATCCCCTAAAACAATCCCTGACGGCTGTGCACTATGTGAACATCATTGCAGACCAGGGGCCATATTCTGGCACTTATCTCTCGTCTCTTCTTTCACCAACAGATGATGTCAAAGCAAGAGACGAAATTTGTCTCTCATACACATTGGTGATTCTGGTTGTTCGTAACGATCTCATCGTTGTTGTTGATGTCATGATTCTATTCGGTTAATTATATATGTTAGGGTTATCTGCGCACACAACATGGTATATTGGATTTTAACAAATGAAATTGTAAAATTTTTGAAAATGCAGAGTACGTAATCATAGATCATGTGGCAAGGAAAGCACATGTTCAAATAAAGCATGTAATTTCAACAAATTTGTTTTTTGTTTTATAACCTTTTTACAGATTGTAATGTCAATTTGTCTTCTAACAAATAAAAATTTTAATAACCTAAGTTAGAAAAGGATGCATACTTGGATTTTTCGAAATATTACCATCTAATTTCTCCTTAACTATCTAAGTAAGATTAACATCATATTCGATAGTTCAGTAATTGATGTAGGATAATTAGAAAAAAAAAGGAATCAGTGACGTTTCCGAGTAGACACTAGAAAAAAATCAAAAGCATTTTCTCTCCGGAAATATTCTATCCCGAGTAGAGAACATTCTCTAGTATGATTGTACAGTGCAAGTAGTATCCAGTCGTCCATATTGGATATAATGAAATCAAGGCGAAAGACGATAGACTGGTCGAAAGACAACTATCCGCTCGTCTCTGACAAACAAGAGAAGCGAAGAGAGAAAAAATTATCCAGAATTGCATTTAGAGAGATGCAATGATCTCTCGAGACGTAAACAAATGATTAGCCAATCAGCAACCAGCTTGTGAGGGATGAGAGATGAGAGACAATGACCAGAATACGGCCCCAGGTTCACCCCTTCATGGCAACAATGTTCCTGGCAGGTGATGGTGTGTAACAACAGGATAATGCACCATGTCATACAGCCTGAATTGCCATGGAGTGAATTTCCAGTCATATGTTGGCCTCCGAACATTCCAGTGAATTTCAAGTCATATGTCTGGCCTCCGAATTCACCTGATATCAACCCAACTGAACACTTGTGGTTCCACCTGGAAAACCGAATTCGTGCTGCCACATGACCACCTCGCAATGTTTGGGAACTGGAGGATCAGATGGTGAGCACCTGGTACCAGATACCTCAGACTACCTACCAGCATCTTGTCAAGTCAATGCCTCACTGCTTGTTGGTGGTTTTGCAGGCAAAAGGTGGTCCTACAGCTTATTAAACAGGTGATCATAATGTAATGGCTCTTCAGTGTATATATTATTCATATTTATCATTAGCATGCATTCATATAAAACAAAGTATTTTTTTATCCATATCATTTTTTAAAATAAATTTGATTTTTTCAAAATTTGCATTAATTATTATTTGATAACAAAGGCCAACTAGTCAATAAACAGTAAATATTCAAATCTTATTTCCATTATTTTGTACGTTTAATCTTTTATTTGTTTGCATACAAATTTTATTCTTTCATCATATCAAAGTTATAATTATTACCACAGAGTACAGATTACTCTAGTACTTCCTTTCTTTTGTCAATCTCATCTATTATTTCCCATTTTCTATCTACATTAAATATTTTCTTAAATAAATTATTCAAATTTCTAATCACTTTTGGAACCATTTAGAATCATACTGTACAATAAATTGATTATATTATACGGAGCATATCTTTTCATTTTTATGAGCTTATTTTGAAGAGAAGAATTTGGACTAATTTTATAAGAGTATAAAATTGTTAATACAGTGCTTTAAAAAAATATGCTGACACAGCAAAGGAGACAATATTAAAAAAATAGGAAATTTATTTTCCTCCAGTAAATTATGGACAGATGAAAACTTTTGGGCCTTACTACATACAATCAGTTGCTTTTTGCTTTTACAGCACATTTACATTTTCAATTATTGTTGCTGAATTTTCTTTATAAACAGTAATATTGATTCTATAAAGTGGGAAGTAAATATCAGCAGTTGTAAATATGATCCAATAAGAATAATATTAACCCAATTCTTTTCTTTAAATCTGATTTAGATTAATATAATTTTCATTCGTTATACTGTCATCTTTTTTCAAATAACATGGGCCTATATCCATATTAATTATATGTAAGATATTATTTAATGTTGAAGTAAACAGATATGCCCTATTTGCATTCACCATTTCAAATTTATACAGTGCCTTTTACAGTTTGTTTTTGAACTTCATCATGGTAAGTGGTGCTTCTTAAAATTTCTTTGAAAACAACAAAAACCTTTGCAAATTTTTTATTACTCATCTACAGTATTGAAGATTTGGTACCTATTTTTGTACCTAGATATCAATTTTAAAAAATTACATGTACTGTACATGGAAAATCATTAAGCAAAATTATTTTTTAAAAATTACCGTATTTACTCGCATATAGGACAAGGCATAACTTTAAAGAAAATTAGATTTATTAATACAGTTCTAATTTTATTTCATTTAATCACAAGTAAAATATCAAATGCAAGTAAATCAAGGGTGTCCAACCTCTTTGTTTCTCTGGGCCACATTGGAAGATGTCATGGAGTTTTGGGCCACAAGTACAGTACATTATATATACTTGTGGTCCAATCCTTAAATATACTCGTATATTTAAGGATTACAGTGTGCACTGAAATTATTCTTATTGGATCATATTTACAACTGCTGACATTTACTTCCCACTTTATAGTATCAATATTACTGTTTATAAGGATTAATGTGTCTAGATTACAGTGCGCACCAAAATTTTGGCAAAACGCTGAATAATGTAAATTTTTGTAGGACATCATGGAGAATTTCATAATTCAGACTGTCAGTTTCCAAGCAGAATTGGAAGAAATACATTTGATGGTTTAGTAATCACGAGAGAGAATATTAATAAGTATTAAATCTTTATCACAAAAAAGGATATTTTAAAAAATTACTTCTACAGGCACTTTCAATTTTTACTTAGAAATAGATANGTATATCAGAAACTTCAACTTGAGAATAATGTTTGACTGCAGAAGTTGTTTTGCCCTCCAACAAATTTCTGAAAAGGAAAATATTCACAGAAAAAAAATATGAAGTACATAAATTCCCTGTGATTATTAATAACAACTGAAATATATAAAAGATAAAATTGAACAATGAGATCGGTTACATGTACAAATTAATAAATATAATTCTAAAAATAGTCCCAAACCTGTATAAAATTTTAAGAAATGACAAGGAAAGCATTAAAAAGGAAAAAAAAGCAGGGAGATCTCACTTGATGATGTTAAAATCCTCAAAAAAGAAAAAAATGTTATTAAAAGGAAATTACATGAACATTTAGAAATTATTAAAATAAATGAATATAAAATGAACTTAAATGATGGTCTACCTATTAGTGACATCCGGCAACCACTTCTTCATGATAGGTAGAGTTCACTTGAAATCCCATCCAAAATCCCTCCCCCATCCAGTTATAATACAGTGTTGTACTTTTGTCAATTTATGTTGATTTTCATACAGTATAATTTGTACAATTTTATAGTGGTTTTAAAAGCTTTTAATTTAAACTTTTTTGAAGAAAAGTTTTCAAACCCACATTTTTTAATTTCGTTTGTTAGTTTTTATTCAAAAAATTTGTTTTAAATCTTACCAACTTGTAATTTTATCCATCTACAGGTAGTAGCTATTTAAATTATTTTTTGAAAAATTATATGTTTTTAAAAAATTTTATTTATTTAATTTTTTAGAAATGTTCTTAATAGTTAGTGTTTCTCAAATGATGAAAAAAGTAACTCTTAGTAAAGTAATCTGTAACAAAACAATTTAAAATGATATATTTTAGATATATTTCAAGAGACAATACTTATATTTCAAACAAACATTGAAAGTAGATGGAGAAATATTATTTTACTTCAAAATATTCATGCATCATGTTTTACATCAGAATCAATAAAGTAAATTACCAGTATTTAAGTTGAAGGGATAGTAATCTATTAAATAGTAATAACACTACTTAACTAGTCTTAGTCAGTTCAACATCATTATTTAGATTATGTTCATACATTTACATGAATTAATAACTGTTTTATTAATTT